GGGACTAGCGGTGGGAGTTATTCTCAGTGCACAGGCTACCCCTCTGATGCATGATTCCATAGTCTATAGTTCTATGATTTCAAAATAACCCCCTTTAGGTTGAATTTATAAGCAGAATGTTCACACTACCAAACCTGTTATTTTGAAAAAATGGGTCATGGAATTCGAAATCTGTGCTTCTGTTTTACATCAGGACTAATGCTAATTCTGAAATAGTTATTTCAAAATAATGGTAGTGTGGATGCTCCAGTGCAGCTATTTTGAAATAACTACTCCCCAGAGTAATGCAAACTAATTACTCCCCCATGCTCCGTGGGGCTCTAAGTCTGAGGTAGTGTATCCACATTAACGGAGCCTGCCTCAGACTACTTTTGAGGCTTCCCCATAGTGTGGATACGCTGGTTTGATTTTTTTTAAATCAGGAGTTAAGTTGAATTTAGTAATTATACTAAATTTGAATGTAGTCGAATCCTTGCCAGAGGATGTTGTGAAGACTGGGATTTTAACAGACTTCGAAAAAGAGCTAGATAGATTCATGGAGGTTAGGTCTATCAATGGCTAATAGACAGGATGTGTAGGATTGGTATCCCTAGCCTTTGTCGGTCTGGAAATTGTGGCCAGACAGCCCGCCTCCATCACATCCATCTTATTTGCCTCCCTGAAGCATACAGGACAGAGAAGGAGCAATAAAATCAGCATAGTCTATGCTGGCTCATCTGATCCTGAGAAGCTGAAACATAGATATGAGGAGAGATCAGGATATGCGAGACTGCCACCGGCTGGCACCTATGTTGATTCGAACACACACACAGTCCCTGGAAGAGGAATTTCCCACTGAGAAAAGAATCCCCAGTAATTCCAATTTAGTTATCTCTCTTACAAGTGTAAATTAAGTTCACAACTCCCTTGTAAGAACTGGTCTCACAAAAGACAGACAGCCCCATTTGGCATGACAGACAAGAAAGAGAAATGCATGACCCCATGGGTATATAAGATGGGCCCAGCACACACTCACTTTGAGTGTCATTCTACCCTCTACCTGCTGGTCGGGTTAGGTGTTTGACCTCCCGAGGTTCTATGGGGACGCCCACCTCGTATTTTCGTCTTTCCTAGGAATTGAGGGACCGGCCCTGGCCTGACATGCTGGAGTCGAGAGGCACAGAAGGGGGTAAAAATGGTACCTGGATGTGGTCCTCTGTCTTAAGTGTACACATAGAAAGAGTAAGCTGTTACTTGGTACCATTATTTCTATTTTTCTATCTTTATCTTCTTTGTAACCATTTTTAATATGTATATTGTGCTAGTAGTTAAGAAATAGAACAATAGCCATTGCAACCATATGATTTATAAGCTTCTTCAAATAAACCTGTAACTGTTTAAGCTTTAACCTGACTCCTTCAGTTGCTGTAACAGAACCAAGCACAATTTAAAAGAACTTCAGCCGGTCATAAAGGGACAAATATAGGGAGAGCTTGGGCGTTTGGATTTGTGTCACCCCCAGGTGGCACAATCCACTGGGGCACCTTTCAGCCTTTCCCCAAGGCTGCCCTCTGCGAAGGAACCCCTGTGTTCTAGCAGCTAAAATCTAAGGTGTAATAAGCTCTTCCTATATAACGGGGCGTCTGTTGGCCTGCAGGCCACCCTCTGCGATGGGACCCAGGTCCTAGCAGTAAAGGCACGGACGTTAAACCTTTTCTCGGAAACATACACACACACACTGCCCTGACCGTCGGCTGACAGAAATGGATAACAGGAGAGGGATCACATGATGATTAACTTTTGTATTCTCTCCCTCTGGAACATTTGGTATTGGCCACTGTCGGCAGACAGGATATTGGGCTAGATGGACATTTGGTCCAGTGTGGCCATTCTTATGTTCTTAATTTCAAAATAATTTCCTAGTCTAGACATGACCCAGTATGAGGGAGGGTAACAGACTCAGCACAAAACAAAGCAGATGCATGAGAGAAGGATGGATGCATGAGAACAAAAAAATGCAAAATAATATTGTAACTGCATCTTAGATCACAGGCAACATGAAAATAATGACCAGCCACGTGTAGACCAGCACTGATTAATTAGTACTCCCCTAGTGTAGGTGAAGTTTTATTCATACAGAGAGGCCTTCTATCTTGATAGCCATTGGGGAATATGCTACACCAGTCTGAGGCAGCTTTGTATTGTTATAACTGCATCCAAACTTTACTGATTTAACTTTTTGGATAGAGAAATGACATCCTTAATTGAAATAACTAAATCACTACAAAACCTGTGTAAACCGAGTAATGTGTCCCAACCCTATTGAAACAAAGCAGCCACCCAGCCGAGCTACTGAGAAGTTTAGGAAATAAAAATGCCAACTCACCCTTTGACCTTGTAAACCAGGAACTCCTGCCTTGCCTTCCAGACCAGCTGGACCCTTTCAAAGAGAAACCGTTTACAGATAAAGTAGTACGTAAAAAAATACTGATGAGCACAGGCAAGTTGAATAATTTCAGAGCGATTGCCACAGAGCATGGGTATCCAGATGCCTTTTATCTGAAAAGCAAGTTATCTGGTGAATGCTTAAGAGGATAGAATAGCACAGAAAAGGTGAGTCAATGTGCTGATTTAATAAGGGGAGCCAATAACCATACCAAGTTATATATTTTAAATCAGATTTGCCTCGCTGACTTAGTGATACATCTTCCTAATGTTGACAACTTTCCAAACCATGATGCAATTGTCACAGCAAGACAGGACAGTTCACAGCTTCAGGAGTGGGAACAGACTGTATAAAAATGAAGCAGCAATTCTGGTATGATGGGTACTGGCTTGTAGAACTAGATCATAAGATATAGCTGAGGGAAAAAGTCTACAATTGAAGCCCAATGGAGAGAATTTAAGAAGCCTAGATTTTCATAAGAAAATTTATGAAATTCACTCCCAAGTTCCTCCCCCCACTATCTATATTAATCATTTGTGATTTTTGCAATGATTTAACTCTCATCTGTAGCAATCATAATCTGAGATTCATGACATTGTTGTCTAGGAGATAACAGAAGGTTCCTGTTTGGGAGCTAAGCTGAGAGGTGCTAAGTGCCAACAGCTTCCTGGAAAATCAGTAGGTGTTGAGGGCAGTCAACACCTTGCGAGAGGAACCTTGTGAGTGAAGCTCACCCTATGCAGAGAGCCAGCCCAAGAGCTGTACAGCACCTTCAGGGATCAAGTGGCACATGGCTTTGAGCAGCTCATCCGCAAAGGGTGAGTTCCTCTTGCTAATACAGAAGACATAAGGTTGCGTGCACCACACACGCTACTCTCCTGAGTAGCGCCCAGGGTTTTGGGCGGGTCTCCAACAGTGCTAGAGAGAATTTCAGCCTGCATGACCCAATATTGCAGGAAAAGAAACTACTTACCGGCGTCCCTGGAACTCCAGGAGGGCCTCGTGGGCCTGGCGCCCCCTAGGAAAATAAATAAAAGAAACCCAACATCAGTGTTCAAGAAACTGATTTCCCCTTTGAGAGAATGGATTCAAGGGCACTCGCTTGTACACATGCCAGGTCTCCTTGAACAGCCCTTCTATATGGTGTGGTGTGAAATTCACCCCAAGCACAAGGGCCATGTATATAGTTTGAACCTCCCTTCCTTCCACAACATGAGATGCAATGCAGAGGCCCTGTGTGCTCATTCACCCAGCACAAAGGTCAGCCAACACAAAGTTTATGCACCATGATGACTTGCACTTGAGCCCTATACTGAGGGGCTATGTCTAGACTGCCTCCCTTTTCCGTAATAGGGATTTAAATCCCCCCCCCGCTTCATTAGCATAAAAATGGCTGCCGCTTTTTTCCGGCTCGAAGCTTTGCCAGAAAAAAAGTGCCAGTCTAGACGCGGATCTTTCGGAAAATAAAGCCTTTTCCAAAAGATCCCTTATTCCTTATTTTAAGAGGGATAAGCGATCTTTCGGAAAAGGCTTTATTTTCCGAAAGATCCGCGTCTAGACTGGCACTTTTTTTCTGGCAAAGCTTCGAGCCGGAAAAAAGCGGCAGCCATTTTTATGCTAATGAAGCGGGGGGGATTTAAATCCCCACTTCATTTGCAATTGCGATGTGTCTAATTTGCATCCCTTTTATAGAAAAGGGATGCACTCTAGACACAGCCTGAAGGTATAAGTGGGCTGTAAGTGGTGCATGGAGTGTGTGCTGATCCTTTGTACGGGGCCTTACTGACCCTTTGCCCATGGATGACTTTTTCTCTTAGGCCCCTAATTAATTCATGAGCCAGTGCAGAGCCCAGCTGATATTTCCCGCAATCCTGGGGTTGGCCCAGGCCCTCATCCCAGTTAGGGCTGCTCTCAGTTGTGTTGAGATGCCCAAGCCACCTATGCTGTTGTGACCACTGTGGAACACCCACATCACAGAAGTACCCCGGTCCCACCCAGAACATCCCATGCAACAGAGCCGTTGGAGGTGAACAGGGGTTGTTTCAGAGTCAGCTCCCGCAATGGGTCTCCTGCACCAGGGTATTCTCCAGGGCCTTGTGAGGCCCCTTTGCACTAACAGAGCCAGGCATAGGGCTCTGAAAGTATAAAATATATATTTAAAACACAATGGCAGTAAGAGACAAAACCAAATGGCTTCCAGTCACTCTCTATGTGTCTGTGTTCAGTGACACCATCAAGACAAAAATCTAATAGGGTTGCCAGGTGTCCGGTTTTCACCTGGACTGACCGTTATTCGGGTCCCCCATCAGGTTAAAAAACCCAGAAAATACCGGACATGTGAAATGTCTGGTATTTGCTGTTTCCCTCGGATGGAAGCCTGGTGGGGACAATTTTCCCCTGATGCATCTGGTGGGGGCAGGGGATTGAGGAGCGTGGCAGAGGCATGGCGAATGGGGGGCATGAGTGGGCACTTGCCAGGCGCCTCACAAGGGGGGTGCTGGGCTGGGGTGGGAGCAGACAGCACACTCCTCTGGCCCTCGTGATCCTTTGAGCAAAGACCCGGGAGCTGGCCATGTGATGCCTCCCTCTACACACTGTGAGCCGAGGCAGCCGGGCCAGGTAGCAGAAGCGGCGACTTTAAAAGTAAGATTTCCTTACCCGGCCATCCTGTTCCTCCGGTGCTTGGCTCTGCAGGGGGGAGGGGAGGATTTGATTGGGGTGGGGCACTCCCGGCACTGGGAACCGGGGATGCCTGGCTCTGGGGGAGGGGTGAGTGCACTGGGATGGGCGGTGCCTGGCTTAGGGGGAGGAGCGAGTGCATTGGGATGGAGGGACTGGCTCAGGGGGAGGAGTGGGTGCATTGGGGGCTAGTGTGTGGCCCTACTGGTGTAAGAAACTCTGCACTTTTTTTTTTCTCTCTCAAAATAAATTTTTCCCGGTGTTTTTTCTGGGAGGAGAGGGGGGTGTTCGGTATTTTTAGTTAAACCGTCTGGCAACCCTAAAATCTAATCAAGTTTTAAATCCCTATTCACACCTTTTACTCTATTAAAAGCAGAAAGGAGCTTGACAAAGTAACTGACTCTTTGCCATTTGTCCTGTTTATGTTCTCTGTTAGACTGACCCAGCACTATGAAAGTAGCCTGGCCAACTTCACTTGCTGGTTCTCAGCCATTAGTAAACAAGATTTTTTTTTCTTCCATGTCATGAAAATATTTCTACTCACATTAGACTTTGCAGCATGCTTTGAAACCAAAAACTGATCTGGGCAGCTGAGCTACCTGGTAGCATCCCTTCAATTGTTAAAAAAATACTATTACTTCTTACAAAGTCTTAGAGGGGTTGCTACGTTAGTCTGTAACTTTATAAATGAGTAATCTTGTGGCATCTTAGCCCTGGTCTACACTACGGCTTTATTTCAAAATAACCCTTCGTTAGGTTGAATTAATAAGCAGAGTGTCCACACTACCAAGCCCACTATTTCAAAATAATGGGCCACTTATTTTGAAATCTGTACTCCTGCTTTCATCAAGGAATAATACTAATTTCAACATAGTTATTTCAAAATAGCAGTAATGTAGATGCTTTGGTGCTGCTCAGAACAGAAGGGGAATGTGGGGGAGGGGGAGGAAGGTGAATGTCTTCCACTATTTGATCTGAGGAAGTGGGTCTGGCCCACGAAAGCTCATCATCTAATAAACCATCTTGTTAGTCTTTAAAGTGCTACATAGTCCTGTATTTTGTTTAAATTATTCCCCAGTGCTTCCTGGGGCTTTAAATCCAACGTAGCACATCCACATTAATGGAGCCTGCCTCAGACTAATTTTGATACTTCCCCATAGTGAAGCATTTTGATTTTGTTACACTGGGAGTTAGTAAGTTGAATTTAGTAATTTCAAAATAGTTTTCTAGTTAGACATGGCCTTAGAGAGTAACAAAAATATCATGAGCTTCTGTTAGTCTCTAAGGTGCCACAGGACTGCACATTGATTCTTACATTTAATACAAGAGAGATATTGAACAGCTCTTACTTACTTGCTCTCCTTTCAGACCTTCCATTTGTACCTGAAATTAAGATGCCTGAGATGTAAAACAGAGCACACTGGAGGAAGGTGTATCTAGAAAGCTTCAGGCACATAATAATTCTCTGTTTTCCACATCTAATCTCACTAGCTGCCCCTCCCTCATGATGCCTTCTAACTTTCACTGCTTACATTAACCATGCGTTAACACTGCCTCCTTTCCCCACACATCCTCGAACTGTGCTGTGCTGTCTGTGTAGCTAGCAATTCCTGGCCCGGACCTTGAACTCTTGGTTCTCTATGCCATGGTTCACATCTTTGTGTTGCTATACAATAACAAGGACAGTACTACTCGCTGTGTTATCTTCATAAAGGAGATTAAAAGCTCCTTGAATCTTGTCTTATTTTCTGCTTGTAAAGCATTATAAGCACCACTGGTACCATATGAACAATGGGCCACATTCAGGGATGATGGGCAAGTTAGATCCCTTTATACTAAATTAAGTCCTAATCCTGCAATGACATAAGTCAGCATGTGCATAACTTGAATCATAGAACTGGAAGGAACCTCAAGAGGTCATGAAGTCCAGTCTCTTTCACTCCCGGCAGGACCAAGCACTGTCTAGACCATCCCTCACAAATGTTTGTCTAACTTGCTCTTAATGGAGTTTCCGCAACCTCCCTGGGCAATTTATTCCAGTCTTTAACCATCCTGACAGTTAAGAATTTTTTCCTACTGTCCAATCTAAACTGCCCATTGCTTCTTGTCCTAGCATCACAGGTTAAGGAGAATATTTTTAATCCCTCTTTGTAAGAACCCTTTAGGTCAGGGGCAGGCAATAAAGACACAGTGGACCACCAGGGATAGTCCCTAGAACATTTACCTACGCCTCTGCAGGAATTGGCAATTGCAACTCCCGGTCATGGCCAATGGGAGCAGTGGGAAGCAGCGCAGACGGAGACACCGCTTCCCACTGCTCCCATTAGCTGCGAATGGTGATCCAGCCAATGGGAGCTGTGATCACTCAATGCCTGCCGAGGTGCAGATAAATATAGAGGTGGGGACCCACCAGGCCCACTTCTTTGAAATTGGTTTATTACTGCCACACATCCCTTACACCTGGGTATTTCAGACCCTCCTTTCAGCTCTCCACATATCCTACTTCTTCATAATTCCAGGTCTACCAAATACTGCAGTTAACCTTCTTACTGGGATCCTAGAAGCCAGGAACTCTTGCTCTCAGGAATCTTCACAGGTTTCAGCTTCTTGTCCATTTGGAAATCCCATACGATACCCATCCCTTCATGTACAAAATCCTCCTAGCCCACCCCTGCTTTCTGACAAGTTCACAGCTTGTGTTAATGCTAAAGCAATGTCTTACTGCAGAGCCCGGCAGTCCTGGGAGACCCGCTTCACCCTGCATGGAAAGGGAAAAGACAGACAAGCAATGAAATAGAAAAAAGTCTTCAAATTACTTTTCAACAGCAGCCTCTTGCCCTCATAGTCTGTCTGCTTCATGCTGCAGCTGCGCCCACACACTTCCCGGGCAGAGGAGATTTGAATATACAATCCAATTTGCATGTACAATTCAATTCAATTTCCCTGTTTTGTATAGGTGGCATGAAAGGCCTGATTCACCCCTGGGAATTTACCATTCCAATTGTACCCCAGTGTGAGACTATTGATTTCAGTGCAATTGTACCAGCACAAAACTGGAGTAATACAGGGATGAATTGGGTCCATAAGCCCTAATTTGGCCAACAGAATCCTTATTGTTGGGTCTTTTATCTGCTAGATGGGAAAAAAAACAGAGCTTGACTGTCACATCTCAGAGTAAGCAGGGCTGGAATCCACACAGGATGAAGGAATTTAGGATACACCTAGATTTTGCATAAGACCAACCATGAATTTTACACACACGACCAACCATGAATTTTACACACACACACACACACACACACACACACACACACACACACACACGCACACACCAGGAAAAAGCTGATGCAAAGATATCATTTCATTTCTCTACAATGTCCTTCCATTCATTAATTGCTCCCTGACAGACCTATGAAGTCTTTCATGGAATTTCTGGTTTCTTGGTTAAGTCTCAGTTGCTGGAGGAGGTTTTGAGTGGGGGGTGGATATGTATATTTGGGGCAGCATTAGTGACAGGATGCATTGTCTGTCATTACTGTCAACATTTCCAAGAAATCCCAGGAATACATACATGGGCTTGGCTCCAGTTTTATTTAGGATCAGATCCTGCTCTAGCTGAGATCAATTAGAATGTTACTTTGGCTTCCATGAGCACAAGCATTTACATCACACTTTGAAGTAGAGTTAACTCTGTGTACTTCAGTGGGGTTACTCAGGATCTGTCTTAGTGAGAGAGCAAACTCAGGTTTCAGGGCCCAATCTATCAATTCGCTGCCATTCATCAACTGGGTAGATGCATTTGAGACCAAGGAGATTAACCAGCAGCACTGTAATTTCTAGACATGTTTATTCAAAATGGAATGAGTCTGGATGCTCCTTGGGCACTTTCTCCAGCTCACCTTTTCTCCTTGGGGTCCGTTGGCACCTGGAGGGCCCGTGCTACCCTTAAGGCCCTGAAAAGAGATTGACAAGATAGCATGAATTACCATCAAGGACAAGAGGAAGGCCAAAGAATAGCTGGAGAAGAGACCTGGATGTGAATGTGAGGAAAATGGGCAAAAGCTGGAGAGAATTAGAAAAGGTGGCACAAGACAGAGAGGCTTGGAAAGAAATTATTGATGGCCTATGGTCCCATAGGAGCTAAGGGTGAACAAGAAGATGATGATTTACCATTCAGGGGACACACAGAGCCTTAGGTCTGGAATAATTTTGCCAAAGCGCAAGCTGGAGCTGTCTAGTGACTTAGGATATATCTACACAGCAATCAAAGACCCGTGGGCCCAGCTGCTGCTGGTCCAGTTTGTCTAACATGGGCTGCACGCCTCACAATTGCAGGGTGCATGTTCGAGTTTGCGCTGGAGTCTGGGCTCTGAGGGTGTGTCTAGACTACAGAGTTTTGTCGACAAAAGTGGACTTTTGTCGACAAAACTATACCTGCGTCTACACTACCGCTGAGTTCTGTCGACATAATGTCGACAGAACTCAGCAGTTTTGTCGACGCTGGTAAACCTCATTTTACGAGGCATAACGCCTTTTGTAGACAGAGTTCTGTCGACAGAAAGTGTTATTGCATGTAAACTGTCCTTGCATCTACACTGCTATGTTGACAAAGCAGCTTGCTTTGTCGACAGAACTGAATGTAGTGTAGACGCTCTTTGTCGACAAAACTTCTGTCGACAAAACCCTGTAGTCTAGACGTACTCTGAGGGTTAATGCAATACAGTGAAACTAAAAAAAAAGCCCAGTTGATCCAAATAAAAGCAAAGGAGGAATTTTTGCACAGACAAAGGTTTTGGCTAAATGGACTCAGTCAGAGGAAGGGAGAAAATCATCAAACTGCCTTTTCTGGCATCTAGTTTCTGGGACAAGAATTCACTCCACATGCAGGAGCAACGGTAAGGTACCACAAGTGTACTTCACTAATAGAATTCATGAGCCCCGACCGCACTGGAATATGAAGGGGGAGACTGGCAGGAAGAGGTACAAGTGGAAGGATTCCTTCTGTTCAGCTCCATAGGGAGTGGAATGCTGGAGCAATGCTATAAAACAGGGGTCTCAAATTCATGGACCACAGGTCATCTACAGCCCAAGCAGTTGCACAATCTGGTATGTGTGTGGCTGCTGGAATATGAGTCCCTAACCACTCGGCAGGATGTGGGTGTCTGTACCCCTCTCCCAAGCCTAGCTCCTACTCTTCCCCCCTCCCATGCCTCTTCCAGCCCCTGTTCCAACCTCTTCCCTCCGCTATTGCCCCTCCTACCTCAAGCCCCCTCCCCGTTGGACACAGCGATTACCAAGGGGCCTGCTGCAAGGTAGCAGCAGGGGTCGGGCCCACCCGCATTCACCGTGGCGACAGGAGCCATGGTGAAGTGGAGTGACTGGGCTGGCCTGAGAGATGGCAGTGGAGCAGAACAGAGGCTGCTGCATCGCTCTGCTTCCCTGAGGCTCCTGTCGCCATGGTGAGTGCTGGGGGGGACCCGACTTCCACTGCCAGTCCCAGCCCACCCAGGGCCTCATGGGCTAACCTAAGTATGGTGGACAGTCCCGACCACAGAATGGTCGGAGTGGCCACTGCCAAGCTCCCAAAAGTGTGGGGCCCGGGGTTTGAGTTTGAGACCCCCTGCTGTAAGCCATTTTCCTCTGCCCTGCAGACACGGGGGTTGCTGCAACCCTGATGAGTCGGCAGCAGTTGCTTCTTCTTTTAGGCTGGTTTTGAGGGAGCAACAGGATCTCCTAATTCCTGTCGTGGCCAGCCCACATGTGCAGCCTATGCCCAGGGATAAGAATTTGCCTCTCTGCTGCAGACAAGCCTCACAATGCACCAATTGTGCAACACGGTATCATAGAGAGAAATCTCTCCTTAGGAGCCGCGAATGGTCATCTTCTGCCCTACTATCCCATTGCCATTTCTCAATCCAACCAACGTAGCCACAAATGTTAACTAGTTCTGTAAATAATTGAAATGGACACACAGGATCCCAGTGCAGTGTCACATCCCCTCTTGTCGAGATACTGGCTAAATAGTAATCAGAGAAATAAAATCACCATAGCCCAGGTTAAAAATTGGCTGAGGAGCAAAGAAGAGAGGGTACGTCTAGACTACATGCCTCTGTCGCCAGAGCCATGTAGATTAGGCTACCAGGCATAGGAAAATGAAGTGGTGATTTAAATAATCGCTGCTTCATTTAAATTTACATGGCTGCCGCGCTGAGCCGATCAGCTGTTTGTCGGCTCAGCGCGGTAGTCTGGACGCACGGGGATCGACATCAAAGGCATTTGTCGACCACCCAGGTATGTCTCCTGGAAATAAGCTACGCAACTTGAGCTATGCAATTAGCTAATTGCAAAAAACTAATTGCATAGCTTAAGTCAAAATAGTTTATTTCAACTTTTGGCACTGCCTGCACGGCAGTTATTTTGAGATAGAACACTCTTCCCCTGACTTCCCTTACTCCTCCAGCAGTCCTCCAGCTCCACATTATTTCGACTTTACGTCGAAATAACTGCTTGTATGTAGACACAGACTTTGCTATTTTAGAATAATGCCAGCTATTCCAAAATAACGCTGCTATGTAGACATAGCCTTGATGGCCAGATTTTTCCATTTCCTTGTGACAGGGTGTGTGTAAACCCCTTCCATCCAGTCCAGTTTGGCACTATTTCACACATCCACTTTACATAGGGAGAAATGACTACACAAGGTATGAGGCAATGGAAACAGAAACGTCCTGAGGGTTAATTTTAATAAACACACATGGAGAAACAAGGGAACTATGCTGCAGCATGATGAGTACAAAAGTAGCCACATATTTGAGTTCCACCATGGAACCTGTAATTAATTCTGCCTTTGGTATCACCTCTCTTACATCCAGTGCAAATGAGCACGCTATCTCTTCAGAAAGGATATTTTTAAAGGGCACTAAAGATTTGTTGACAGCTTTGACTCAAGTGCTTGGAAAATGCTTCAGATCTGTAAATATCTCCACATCGCTCCTGGAGCACAAGGTGACATTAAAGATTGCTTTCCTTGGAGGAAAGAAGGGGATGGTGGCTAGAGATGGAGACACAAACTGCTTTGTGTCGACTCTGGCAATAACAACAGGGCTATTGTTGTCTCCTGGCCTTTAAATATTCTAATGCCTGAAGGCTAGAGCGGTAAGAAAATAAAATATTTCCCTCCATTGCTGCATAACTGTACAAAGTGCATCCTCCTTTTTATTTAGTCACTAGAAGATCTACCTGACATTGCTCGGGTTCTTAACTCAAATAAGTGGTTTTTTTTTCCTTCATTTGAATCATTGCTGTGGGGTGCGGCTGGGGCTGAGGGGTGCAGCAGGCAGGTTGCTCTGCAGAGAGAGGACAACCCCAGCCCTCTCTCACCACAGCAGTTTGGGAATAGATGATAAGCACCTGTACATGGCCATTGCCACTGCAGGCACCAGGGGACGAATGCATGTCCTCCAGCTGGGTGACGGACAGACAAACAGACACACAAACAGACAAACTCTCTGCAATATATAATAGATAGCTTCCCCTTTTTCCATCTTTACCCCTGCTGGCCCAATGAGGGTCCAGCTGTCCCACTCCCAAGCCCTGACCCCTTGTTGCCCCCTGTGGGTCATTCTACAGTATAACTGTCCCTCCTACCTGACTCCTTTCTTTCCATTTTATGACACACAATCAAATCCGGGCACATCCCATTGTCCTGGCTTTAAGTTATGAAAAGAGGAAGCTGCATACCAAATTTGGTGGTCCTAGGTCTTACCACTGAGAGGAGTTCTTTGAAAAAATAGACTCACAGACAGACGGACACACAGAAAGACAGAGAGATGCACAACTCTCTCAAATATATAGTTGATATGGCTGTTCTACTCCCCACACTAGAATCACACTGCTCCTCGGTTGACATGAGATTGGTCAGTACAGAACAAGGTTGTTGAACGCAGGGACCCGTCGGGTCAGAACTGGGTATTCAGAAAGACCTTGATGTTTTAATGAGATGCTCTTCTGCTCCTACAGTCACAATATGTCAGGAATAAGTCCCATTTCAGTAGCCACCTTCCTATTTATTGTGCATGAACCCCTCCTTCGGAGAACAACTTTGGAGTATGTATTTACTACATACCTGTTTCCCCTCTACACCTGGCTTCCCTGGGAATCCATCAAGGCCTCGTTCTCCCTAGGGAAAAAGAAGAGAGAAGATGATAACTTATAGTTCAAATCCTTTACCTCCCTCTTTTGCAAGAGACAGATCAGTCCACATAACCTTCTCTGCTACTCACCTGCAGACCTGAGAACACAAAAATTGATCTAAGTCTGTTATTTTGGGAAACACCCATCTTCAGAAAGGATGGAGAGGCCTATCTACAGTAAAGAGGTGAACTGTGTTGTCATCAGGCAACCTAGTAGATATTTTCCATTTCTAATTTCTGTAATTTGTAAATTTCATACCACTCTTCATCATCTTTTTTTTTTTTGTTAACTGGGAGAAGTGTCATGGCATGGTCTGGGGAATAAGGCCTGTCAGTCAGAACTGCCTTCTCCCTGTCTTACTAATGTTGTTATTAGGTATTTCATAATAATTTATAACACAACTTAATCCATTTCTGAACCAAAATATTGTCTTAGCAGGTTTTCATGTTGCTGTTCCAAGTCCTGCAACTCTTATTCAGTGGAAATCCCCACTGAGGGAAATGGCAAAGATACTTGAGTAAGGACCAATTTAGGCTTTCAGGGCAGAGCCCAGTAATAATACTTTGCATCTGTAATATGTCTCTTTTCATCTGTGGCTCTCAAAAGGATGGTCTTTGGACAAAGGCAGCAGACCGATTCAGCAGATCTGGGTTCAATTCCTGTCTCTCCCACAGATTTCCCATAGGACTTCGTCTCTCTGTGCCTCAGTTTCTCATCTGCAAAATGGGAATAATTGTTCTTCCTTCCTAACACCCTTTGTCTTTTCTGTTCAGATTGTCTGATCTTTGGGAGTGGGACTGTCTCTAACTATGTGTGTGTTCATCATCTAGCACAATGGATCCCTGATTTAAGCACTACTATTAAAATATTATATTATATTATAATTAATCATAACAGATTTTGTTCATTAGCAAATTCTACCAGTAGAGGCAGTAATTGGTAATTAAATACTATTTTGAGTTTTGGCTTTAATAATCTCAGTTGTGATTTATACCTCTTCACATAAATGTTTGAGTTAGGCTATTATTGGTAAAGCAGTACTTATAGCATTATTATAGCATTAGGTTTAACTACCAGGGAGGAAGGGTGTACGTGTGTGATTACGTTAGCATGCTGAAAATGGATTTATAAATCAATGAATTGATGGGGAGGGTTTTTTTAGAACGTCTATAAATCTTGCATCAGAAATGCTATTTCATTCTGCACATTAGGTGACATAGCCACCTGAAGGAAGGATTTTCTAATCTTTATCTATTGTAATTATGAACTTGTGTTGGTTCATTTTTACACACACACACACACACACACACACACACACACACACACACACACACACACACACAGCCTGCTTGAATTAACCTCTTTGTATTCTGCAGTGTAGATCATTTGAGACATCACAACTTTACAGACTGCTGACCAATGGAACACTGACATCTTTTTGGTGCATCTATGACATCAGCGTGGGGCCTCATAAGACAGATTCATTGCCAGAGGATGGTAGACGTTGTCAAATCCTCTCAATATCACACAAAAAGAGGGCTGAATAAGGATATGGTGCTAGACTTGGTTGAAATTTTTCCAACGATAATGATTTTTGTTCTGTTTTATTTTTGTCATAAGGTAGGTTTTCAAATGAAATGAAAGTGTTCCTTGTTGGTGATGTGGAGAAAAAACAACTGATTTTTCTTTATCTTTCCTTTTTTTTTTAATGCAAATCTGTCAGAGAACCAAAAGCACTTCTTCTGAATTTTCCATTTCAAAACTGTTGTGTGTTTCTATCCACTTTCTATCTTCCAACTCTTGCCAGGTGGAACAAAACTATCAAAAAGGGTGAGAAAGCAGGTAAAACCCCATTTTCTAATACTTTGTTACTAATTCCCAATTTCTACAACCACTTAGAGAGCAGTATCAAAGTATTTAAAGTACTACTTTCTGAGGGTATGTCTTCACAGCACTGTTTTTTTCAAAATAACAAAATGAGCATCTACTCAGCAAGCCATTATTTCAAAATAATGTCGAGATGGAGGACTTCTTACTCAGACTCCTGTAACCCTCATTTCACGAGGAGTAAGGGATGTTGAAAACCCTCATTTCACGAGGAGTAAGGGAGGTTGAAAGAAGAGGGTTCTTCCTTCCACTTCTTGGTGTGAAGACCGCACCAAAAACCGAATTAAGCTATTTCAACTTCAGCTACGCAATTGACGTAGCTGAAGCTGCGTATCTTACTTTGACTTTTCTCCTTCAGTGTAGATGTGCCCTGCGAGAAAATGTTACTTTATTTTTAAGGGTTAAAATATTTTCCTCCCAACTTTTCTATCATTTTTTTTCTCATTGGGGAAATAGCAAAAAATCTGGGAAAGTGGTGGTGGGACACTCTCCCAGGAAAACTGCATCTTCGGGAAACAGTTGAAAGGCAAATTTCTATATCAAAAGCTCCCAGCTCAAGTATTTTGATATGTCCAAGTTTCTGATCAGCGCTATATGACCTGTATTATCCTTTATTAAATGTTGTATTAATCTTGTGATTTTATGTGGAAACTGATCACTTACGCGATGAAAACAATGTTCCAGGGAAATAGCCTACAGATTTCTGATCCGGACTTTGGTTTACCATTACAAAAGACACTAAAAATTCAACCCAGATTTCATATGAGGCCTGCTGGGACAGGACTTTGGGATGTTAGTGAATGCTGTATGGGGACTCTATACAACTTCAGAAATGATCAATAAGGCTCTAAGTTATGTACTGCTCCATAAAGTCAATGCTTTGATTTAAGGTGCTCCCAGTGTATAGTGACATAAGAGCCTTGTGGGAGATTTCACTTCTCTCTGAAACATCAGGATAATGGTTTGATGGAGCAATATTCAATATAGAGACTAATGTTCCTATTTAATATAACAATTCCTATATTCCTTAGGCTGGGAGAAGCATACATGATCTTTATTAATGCTTTAAAAATGGTGCTGAAAGTGGCAAAAATTTAGATTCCGATTTCTCAGAAGCAATAAGCAGTTGCAGACTGAAAAGCAGACAGGGAGCGATCTTTGGCCTGGCTCTTAACGCCCACTACTTTCACAGTGGTTCCAAGTGGTGGAAATTAAAACTAAAGGGATAAATGTTCTGAGTGCAGTATCGATACACTGTAAATGCCCAATTGTTATAGCAGAGATCTTGGATTTTATGCCGAGGCCAGAAGGGAAAGAAAGACACTGTAGCTATGCCAATCCCTCAGAAGGGAACAAACCCAATTCACTTGTTTCTCATTTTAATTCTTGTCTTGTTTTGTCAGTTCCCTGCCCCCTCACTGTTCTATCCCTCTTCCTCAGCCCAGTGATGGGAGAAAAATCCATGTTCCTCAGGGATGCAAACACCTCCACAGACCAGACAATATTGTCACAGGAAAAAAGGCTGATGGAATGGCTAGACACAACCCACTGATCCATCTCTTCTGGCCTGACCTCTGTGGGCGAAGGCATGAGGAAGATTAAATGATAACGGGCATCTGTCCAGTTGCAATGGAAAACATAGAACAAATGAAAGGGAAAAATGGCAACTTGACAATAAACAACCATATGGATGTTGGGAACAGAGCACTAGCCAATGGTGAAAGAGAGAGAGCTGGGAAGGAAATTGGACTGGGAGACTAACTGTAACACCAACAGGCAGAACTGAACCTGGGACCTCTGGAGCTTAGTGCATGAGCTAAAAACCATCCGGTGCTCAGATAAGGCTGTAGAGAAAACTCATTCTCTCTCTGTATAAGTGGTCTCAGTGCCACTGCATGGGACAGTGAACCACACCCAGTAGGTCCCTGGGTTGCCTAACAGCCATAGCTGAGGAAACAATTGATGGGTTTTTTTTGGTTTAGTGGCCATTTTGGGGAGAGGATTTTTTACCCTGTTTGTGTAGTTCAAGCTAGTCACATTTCAAACTAAAACTGTGTTTCAAAAGAAAAGTCAATCTGTTTCGTTTCATAAATGTCTAAACTGAATGTTTCAACGTTGGGGGATTTCCCCTCCTTTTTATTTGACAAGTTCAATCTAAGATTGCATTCTTAGCGAATCAATTATTCCACCCTTTTTTTCCCAGCACTAGTGCAGGTTGTTCCTCTTTAGCCCGGCACCCTCAGGACCTGACCAGTACCAAACCAGAGAATTTGTCGGACTACAGGATGTCAATACTGTCTAGTACCATTACCAGCACTTCCACTGCTTACTGGGCTCTTAGAAGACATTTAGGGGTAAATTAGAACTAAATAACAGCACAGAACATTGAGAGCCAGGACTGGTGGCTGTAAACAAACTTTATGGGACCATGGAAAACTTGGCCACACCCATGAAAAGTGGACATCTGGCAAACTAAAATCATGCTGGACCACCGTTGTTGCTGGACCAGAGACTGCCAGACTAGAGAGACTTAGAGAGGTTTAACCTGTAGTGAAGTATCAGAGGGGTAGCCGTGTTAGTCTGAATCTGCAAAAGCGGCGAGGAGTCCTGTGGCACCTTATAGACTAACCGAAGCGTTGGAGCATAAGCTTTCATGGGCAAAGACCCACTTTGTCAGATGCATGTAGTGGAAGGAACCTGTAGTGACACTCCACGAATGCCTCTGCAGCTGGCTATCAGCAGAGGGAGCTCAAACACAGGCAAAACTCCCCAGCTAACATTGTAAAAGGTCTTGCCAAATTCCCAGAGTTGACTGGCGTGAATCCCCTTGCTATTCTCTGCACCCTGCGTCTCTAATGGCCTGGCAGCTCCGTACCTCAGAGCTGGCTGGAACAAACATGCCTTAACTGCATCATTGCTCTCTAACATAAAAATAAATCACAGTGCGTGTCCACCCTTACTATGCCATCCCAGCACAGAGACCCCCACATTCAAGGAGGTCTGCATGCAGGGTTGGGCATTATGTGGTACTGAGTTCTCATCCCAGATAACACAGTCACTTGCCCACTCATCCATAACATGAGGGTGCTGATAGTCACTGGCCAAGGCACCTCTGTGTCCATTTGATTCCCTAGCTGCTGCACTGAGCCACTGACAGTCACCTATATATCGGAGCAGCCACAGATTGCTTTAAATTACACTGGAGAGTGACCTGCAGCCCACTCTGGATAAAGCGAGCGCAAAGCCACCTTTGCAGTCCAGCCTCCTGCGCTGCACTGCATGCGCCTCAGAGGACTGTGGCTTCTACGTTGATTGTTGGTGGCAGAGAATAACAATAACCCAACTCAATGAATGTGACATCAGCCCTAGGCCATTCATCTCTACCCAATCAGAGCCAGCCGCATGCCCTGCCGCCTATCGGGATAGGAGAAAATTCACCAATGCAAAAAGCATGGAGCAAAGCACTTGAAAGTGATGCTACTTTTTGGGAACCCAGGACTGGGAGAGCACTTACCTGTGGTAGCCAAGCCAGCAACCCATGCCAACTTGTGTTTATAGACAAAATAAAGATAAAGGAAACTGGGTGGCTCAGGAAGCAGGTCATCAGATGGAGATATCTGTATTTCTAGGTTAGCAGCTCTGGTCAGTAGCGTGCAAAGGTCATTATCACCTATTAGGTGGGTAATACCCCATGTGAACACATCATAGACTCATAGACTTTAAGATCAGAAGGGATCATTATGATCATCTAGTCTGACTCCCTGAACAGTGCAGGCCACAGAATCTCATCCACCCCTCCTAGAATAATCTTCTCACCTATATCTCAGATATTGAAGCCTTCAAATACTTTTAAGACCCCAAGATGCAGAGAATCCTCCAGCTGTGATCTGTATCCCATGCTACAGAGGAAGGCGAAAAACCTCCAGGGCCTCTGCCAATCTACCCTGGAGGAAAATTCCTTCCCGACCCCAAATATGGCGATCAGCTAAACCCTGAGCATGTGGGCAAGACTCACCAGCCAGACACCCAGAAAGTTCTCTATAGTAACTCCTATCATCCCTCCATTGACCTATTTACCTCTGATAATGAATGGTCAATTAGTTACCAAGATCATGTTATCTCATCAAACCATCCCCTTCATAAACCCATCTAGTTTAATCTTGAAACCAGATAGATCTTTTGCCCCCACTACATCACAGCAGTCTCAGAGGGATAGCTGTCTTAGTCTGTAACATTACAAACAACGAGTAGTCCCGTGGATCTTAGAGACTAACAAAAATATATAGGAAAAACTTGAAAAACAACAAATGGTGTGGTAGCACTTTAAGGACAAACAAAACATGTAGATGGTATCATGAGCTTTTGTGGGCACCGCCCACTTCTTCAGATGACTGGAATGTTCGAAGTCCAGAACCAAGAATAAATAAGGGAAGGGGTGGCAGGGGGGGAATTGGAAGAGAGAAGAGGACATTGGGTAGAGAAGTTTCAAAGGATTAGCAGAGCCAGTCTGCAACAGGAAAAAAACAAATATTTCAAACACTCCGGTCATCTGAAGAAGTGGGCTGTGCCCATGAAAACTCATGATACCATCTACATCTTTTGTTAGTCTTTAAAGTGCTCCCAAACTATTTGTGGTTTTTTAAGTTTTTCCTATTACAGACTAACTCGGCTACCCCTCTGAAGTTTTTAAAAATATATTGAATCATGAGCTTTTGTAGCCTAAACCCACCCACGCAGGTGGCACTTGTTGGAACTCTTTGCAGCGAGCCCAGGGAACAAATCGGTCTGGGGTTCCGAACTCCCATGTCACTCTCACGAGAGGTCACTCCAGCTCACAACTGCACGGGGCGGGCTGTAAACCACAGGGTACCAGCCCCACACTCTTCCCCCATGGTACATTCATTTACAAAGCAACAGGCAGAGAGGGAAAGCAACACAGCAATTTCCTAGGCGGTGGCTCTGACGTGCTCTAGTGATACCTTGTCTCCTCGAGTTCCCTTTTCTCCTCTTTCTCCCTGCAGGCCCTAAAAATGAAAACAATAAAAAAGGGAAATTACAAGGCTTCATACAACACGGCCCCTATTCTCTTCCTCAGAGAAGGAGCTGGGTTATTCACTAACCCTCTGGCAGCAAAGGACGATATTCTTGCAAAGATCTGTCCTGTAAACCAACAAGGATGTTAATGTTGCACTGAGGTGGTGCAAGAAACTGGGGTTAAGGAGAAACTGGAAGGTACAGTAGTGGGTAACAGTGAGCACTAACTGCTGTTGAATAATCCCAACCCAACAGGGCAAACACAGCTGGATGAATGAGTGACAATGTTCATTTGGGCACCACGTGCAAATCCACAGCTTTCCAATTAACATGAAAGCTATAGAAGGGTTTGCTGCATCTCAGATAACTGGATGGCCACACATTACACACATAATAGTGCTGACACACCTACAAATAATCAAATGAAAGAAGGGGCAGAAATGTAACCTTTCCTGTGAATAGTCACACGGCATGGTAGGTGTAGTTCACGTCTTTTGTAGCAACTGAGCAAACAGCAGGGAAAACCTGCAGCAACAGGACACACACACTCAGTTGATGGTGACCCATCAGGAATGGCTTGTTCATGGAATGTTTTACACTCTGGTGACTTTGTATTTTAATACTTCACTTATCTCCATGTTACAGTGCAGCGGGCTTAGCTGAAAATTAATGAGAGTGGCCCTGCTCAGGTTTGCTTGGTCCAGAGGACAGGTTAGATGCTGTTATGATTTCAGGCTGTACGTGAGCGCAATCAAATGCCGGACAAGCCTCTTCGTGTCTGACAGTATATTTGTGATCAAACTGCTCAAATGGAAAAACCAGCTATTTTCTCTTGAGATGAAGTCACTGGATTTTATTGCACACTTGACACTCCATGAAAAATCACTGCTTTCTAGCTCCCTGTCTCTTTTTTCCTCCCTTCCCATGCCTCTCTAGGGGTTTAACATGTGCAAACATGCTTGGGAGAAAATCAGGCAGATATTTTGTTCTTGAGTTCCCCTTGCGGTTCACTTTCAAAGCTTATTCCTATCTGCTCATCTTATCAGCAAGGGTAAGCACAGGTCTAATTGTCAGTGCTCATCTTTAGTGCCCCATTGCTCAATTACTAAGTCATGGTGTGTCCCCTCCTTTCATTCATGAGATCCAAGTCATCCAAATGCATTCCCTCTTACAGTACGGCCACAGAGTTATACCAGGTGTGAGGTCACGGAAACCTTCTGGGTGTTAAGAATTCCCAGGTCAGAGAGAAACTGACCATCCCCCGATGTCTTGTGGTCAGTGCCAAATGATTTAAAATAATCCACTTCAGGCACCCTGATGCATCTAATTTGGTGTGTGAGTAGAGATGTTTCCTCTAGACCCCTTGTGGTGCCTTAAAGCATGTGGATTCATATAGCTCTTTTGAGTCTATCTTAGCTACAGCAGATGCAGTTGAATTCCCTTAGACCTGTGGTCACCAAACAGTAGACCGCAATCTACCAGTCGATCTCAGAGGCTCTAAGAGTCGCTCTTGAGCCCTCTCTGAACTGTGCACCTGTGCAGTACTTTTACATTTGCTTTCCTCATTTGAGGAGCAGCTACTCACTGAGCAACAACACAGGTGAGAGACTATGCGGAATGGTGGGAGGTCGGGAGGGCTGAAACACCCCGGCCAGCTGGCTGTGGCTTTCCGCTGAAAGAGGCTGCCCCCCGCTCCAGCTGATCAGGCAGCTTCTCCTCTGCGCCTGCCCACGTGGAGCGTGGGGCACCCTGGCTGAGCGCCATGGCAGCTGGGGGGCGGGGGTTCAGATTGTTAAGCTAATCAAAAGTGACCAGAAAAGCATGACTTACGGGTGCTCCAACGTAGCCTTTAATTCCTGGTGGACCTCGTTGTCCCTCAGATCCCTAGGGAGGATATAAAACATTGAAAAAGACAAGAGGTTAATTCAACAGAGAAAGCAATAAATAACGTAGTCAAGAATTAAACTGGCACTTCCTGTGAGATGTTCCAGGGAGGTAGCTGTGTTAGTCTGAGTCAGCACAAACAACAAGGACTCTGGTGGCACCTTTTAGGATATGTCTACACTGCACGCTTATTTCAAGATACGCTATTCTGGAATAGTTATTCCAAAATAGTTTATTTTGAAAGAGCACATCTACACTGCTGGGAAGCCTCAAAATTAGTCCAAAGAAGGCCTCCCTAATGTAGACGTGCAATCTCGATTTAGAGCCCCAGGATGCACTGGGGAGGAATAACTTAGAATGGCCCTAGTAAGGTATTATTCCAAAATAGCAGCAGTGGAGCATCTACACACGCCTTATTTTGAAATAGCTATTTCAGAAGAGGCATTATTCCACGTGGAATGAGGTTGACAGATTTTGTCTGTTATTTCAAAATTATTTAGAAATAACGGAATGGCTGTGTAGACGCTCACATTATTTCAAACTAACGCTAGTTATCTTGAAATAACGGTGCAGTATAGGCACACGCTTAAAGACAAACAACTTTATTGTGGCATAAGCTTTTGTGAGTTGCACTTCACTTTGTTTGATGCACAAAGTTAAAGAAATAGATGATAGAGATACAGAGATGGGAGTATTATGTTAGTGCTAATTCAATCAGGGTGGTGAATTTGCACTGATGTAACACTCCCTACCATCAGTTGTTAAACCTTTCCTTTTGCCCCCAGTGTTCAGACACCAATGCCCGTTATTTGTCACACCTTGCTTTTCACCGTTTTACCACTTGGTTTTCAGACTTGTCCCTTAAAGACAAATAGGTACACGCAGATTTCTGTATAAGCTGTTTCAGTGTTGCTACTAATTGGGGGCCAATTACATTCATTTGGCACTTCCCGGCTCTTGACTGGGTGAGGTGGGGTTATTCTGAAAACAGGATGAGAAGGGCACAAGCCAATAAAGGCAGCATGTTTGACAATAAAAGCCAATTCTTTGTGAGAAGCAAGCCTCGGAGTTTAGAGAAACACATACAATGCAAGCAATAGCATTCCCTTGTGCTCTCCGGCTGGGCTGGAGAGTGACAGATGCGATTCGAACTTGTTATCACTCTCTCTGTGTTTATTCCAACACATAATTTCTAAACAAATGGCCAGGTTCTTAGCTGCACTTGTGTCAGAGGGAGTGCAAGGAAACCAGTTACAACTCTGTCCCAACCCTTTCGGTGTTATCTACCAGATGGGGCTAGTCAATGCAGCGTGTTCTCCGGTGCTACGTCTATACTACGATCTTCTTGAGGAAGAGGAAATGCAAATGAAGCGTAGTATAGATGTAGTCCTGACGTTTTCATCACACATTAGGCTCCAGGTGGGACAGGGCAGGAAATAGTGTTCTTTGCTGGCAGGAGTGTGTGTGTGTGGGGGGGGTACTATCCATTAAACTGACGTAAAGCATACACCCAGGTCAGTGAATGTGGCACTGATTGTTTTGAGATTGTACTGTTAAGCCAGCTGGCTTGGTGGCTCGCCAAATAAACGTTTTCCCTTAAGCCAACTCCAATTTTGGACTTTCTTAACTCCTAAAGCTTCAGCTTCTGAAAGAACGTGTCCTCATGTCCAGCCTACGCTGACAATGCCAATGGCTGATAATTCCAGCAAACTGAAACTATCCAAATGAGGATGAGGGGCGCGCGGCATCCCTGACAGCTGCCATCAGGAGCCGCGTGCCCGGCTCCCGCAGTGCTGCCCCCAAGGCACCGGCCAGCAGCGCCCTTCCCCCTGCAGCTGCGGGGCCCTGCAAGGCCCGGCGCACACACCAGCAGCACTGGCCGAGCCAGGCAGCGCATGCGCCATGCACCCCGGGGGCGGGCCCTGGGCTGCACTCTAGCTGCCGTGGCCGGCACGCACATGCACCATGCGCCCCGGGGGTTCTGTGCAGGAGGGGAAACGATCTGTTCACTGTGATGACCTAGATGCAAATGACCAGGAACTTGGTGATGTTACAAGTCCTGTTTGCACCACAATGTGAACCATGCAAGTTACAACATGTGCATGGTACTGGCACAGAAGGATGCTGTCCCACAGACAGGGCCGGATTAAGGCATGGGCTAGCTGGGCA